AGGAGTCTCTCCATGAGGCTTTGAAAAATCCCCGGGGCCACGCTGACTCCAAACTGGAGTCGGTTACAACGAAACGCCCCCCGGTGGGTGACAATAGTCTGTGCCTCGGTGGTTTCGTCATCGACCGGCAGCTGCTGATAGGCTTGTGCCAGGTCGAGCTTCGCGAAGACTTTGCCCCCCCCAGTGAGTGAAGTAGATGTTGCACGACTGGGACGGGGTACGCGCTTTGTTGCAAGGCGCAATTGAGGGTGGCCTTATAGTCCCCACAAATCCTTATTGACCCGTCTGGCTTGACTGGGGTGACTATTGGGGTCTCCCACCGGGCGTGATCAATTGGCTGCAGAACCCCCTGTTTGACGAGCTTGTCAAGCTGCTCGTCTATTTTCCCCCGAAGCGCGAAAGGTACCCGCCTCGGCTTTAGGCGGATGGGGTTGACGTTTGGGTCTAAACTGAAAGAGATAGGGGGTCCCCGGTACTTGCCTAAGGTGCCGTCGAATACTTCCTGGAAGTCCTTAGCCAGCTGCTGTTCCCAGTCGGTTTCCTCAGTGTGGTTTATCCCGGTGACCCCGATGCCCAATGGTGCGAACCATTGGAGTCCCAGGAGGCTTGGTCGGTTCCGGTCCACTATTGTGATGGGAAGTTTTGCGGTGCGGCCCTTGAAGGCTACGTTGAACTGTCCGGTCCCGATGACGGGGATGCGGTTCCCTTGGTAGTCTTTGACTATCAATCTTTGGTTCTCTAGCTCAGCCTTGTGGAGATTTGGTACTAGTCGCTTGATTTCTTCCCAGGCGATCATGGAAAGGTAGGACCCGGAGTCCACCTCCATGCGGCAAAGCTCACCCTCGATGCTTACTTCCACGTAGACCTTACGGGTATCGTTGGTCTCGGCGTGGGCAATTGTGAGTGTCTGGTGGGTTTCCTCCCTCTGTTGGTCTCCCCCGTTTCGTCGGCCACGGCTGTCCCTGTTCCAACGAGTGTCGGGTTGGTGCTCTCGGTGCCTGGGGGAGGTGTTGTCTCGCCGCCGGTTGCTCGGCTCTCGGCGTCGGGGGCTGTAATTTTTCCTAAGCCGGCAGACTCGGGCGATGTGGCCCCTCTTGTTGCAATTCTGACATGTCGCGTCGAAAAAACGGCAGTCTGCTCGGTAGTGGTTGCCCCCGCACCCCGCACACTGGGTCCCCGACTTACGACCTCGTTGGTCTCGTCGTGTCTGGAGCCGATGGACGTCTTCTTCTTCTCCTTCGTCTGGGGTGTCCGAGGCGGAGTCCAGGTCGCCATGGTGTGTGGCGGTTTCTCGGCGGTTAGCCTCGGGGTTGTCAGCGCGGTCCCCGTTCTCCGCTTTCCGTAGTCGAGCTGCCGATTTCTTGGTGGCTTCGGCGGCGGACGCTTCTGCCAGGGCGACATCGAGACTGATGTCCCCCTTTGCCATTAGACGGCTTTTCAGTGCCTGGTCCCAGAGACCTAGGACCACGTGGTCTCGGAGGATGTCGTCTAGTTCATGGAATTCGCACAAACCCCCGAGGTCCCTTAGAGCGGCTATGAAGTCGTTTATGCTCTCGTCCTGCCGCTGATTTCGCCGGTAGAATTCGTCTCGTCGGATGAGGATGGGCACGGTGGGAGCGTAGTGGTTTTTTAGCAATGGCGCAAGGTCGGCCCAGTCCATCGTCTTTACGTCTGCGGGTTTGGCGAGGGCTTTCGCCATTTTGAACACTGCGGGCCCGCAGTGTGTCAGGAAAACAGCCCTTTTCTTGTTTCCGTTGGCATCCTTCAAGTTGCTACTCTCGAGGTACATCTGGAAACGATCAGCGTACGATTCCCAGTCCTCGGTAGCCGGGTTGAATTGTGCGGGTGGAGTGAGGCCGGCCATCGTGTTGGTCTTTGTCTTCCTCCGGACACGTGCTTGGTGGTTCCTTCTTGGATCCCACCCTCGTCGCCAGAGTCGTGTCCGGCGCAGGAAGGAAGCTCGGAGTCAGTGACAAAGTTCAGCTCTTTATTGTGCTCCAGTACATGCTTGGGAAAGGAAGGAAAAAAACCCCGGCTTTTTATTTCCAAGCCGCGGCGGCCCGCGGCCAATGACATCGTTTCGAATCTCACGCTCTTGGTTCAACCAATAGCGGGAGATTCTTAACGGACCAATCCGGGCGGCTTGCCCGACCAATCCGGTTGCCGCGCACTTTAGCCAATCGCAACGCGGGGTTTGCAAGTATGTTAATTCCTTGTACAGAACACATGGGTTGATTGTTCTCACTGTCAGAAAGTTTCTCCTTATTTCCAGGTTGAATGTCTCTCCTTGATCAGTTTCCATCCATCATTCCTCGTCTGGCCTTCGGGTGCCTTGGAAAATAGCTTCACCCCCCCCCTTCCTCTCTGTGGCAGCCCCTCAAATATTGGAAGACTGCTATCGTGTCTCCCCTGGTCCTTCTCTTCATTAGACTAGCCAGGCCCAGTTCCTGCAACTGTTCATTGTAACTAACATTCTGTGCATTTTGGAGAACCCCCCAAATCCCACTCCTGGCTGGCCCCACCCACCCCACCCTGCCCCTCCCAGGAGTCCCCACACAGCCCGTTTTGGATGCAGAGAAGTGCAGGATGCGCGCGGAGGCTCAGACAGGGCGAAAAACAGGCCTCCCAGAAGTTTGGGAAGGCCGGAAATAGGCCCGTTTCCAGGTTCCAGAGTGCCTCCGGAGCCTGGGGAGGCCGTTTTCACCCTCCCGGAGGCGCAAGGAATGCCTCCGGAGCCTGGGGAGGCCGTTTTCACCCTCCCGGAGGCACAAGGAATGCCTCCGGAGCCTGGGGAGGGCAAAAGTGCCCCTCCCCCACCATGGTGCAGGAGGCTGACTAGGCCACGCCCACCCAGCCACCGAGCAGAGAACCCTTTGCCAAAATTTTTGAAGCCCACACCGGTTTAGATGTACTTATAAACATCTACAGTTAGTTCTCATCTTACAACCATTTAGCGACTGTTAAATTCATTTAGCGACCGTTCAAAGTTATGCCGCACTGAAAAAAAGGGACTTAGGACCGTTTTTCCCACTTAGGACCGTTACAGCATCCCCGTGGTCATGTGATCAAAATTTGGATGCTTGGCAACCGGCTCGTATTTACGACGGTTGCAGTGTCCTGGAGTGACCTTCAATGAGTCAGTGGGGAAGCCGGATTCCCTTAACAACCGAGGTGCCTTCCAACTCTCTTATTCTATTCTGTTATTTTGGGTTTCGGTTGTAGGAACAGCTTTTGATTCCTAAAAGCTCTTTTTTGGATCTTAAAAAGACTCTCCTTCCCTTTGCTTAAATCCATCTTGTAAAAACTGAGCCACTTAATGGGAGCCTCAAATATCTTTTTGGACTATGATCAGATTCTGGAAAAATGCTTGCACCGATCTCGCTGTTTTCCCTTAATCCCTCCACCTTTTGTGAGTCAGGCTCTGCAGCTCTCTTATCACATATCCAGGGGTGGGCTGCTAACTGGTTCACACCGGTTCGCGTGAACCGGATGCTAATTTTACATCTGGTTTGCCGAACTGGTAGTTACAACAACTGGCTGGCCACGCTGACCCTGCCCCGCCACTCCACGCGGCCTGTTTTGGTTCCCAGGAGAGTGCAGGGCCTGTGAAGAGGCTTGGGGAGTGTGAAAAACGGGCCTTCTGGAAGGCCGGAAACGGGCCCGTTTCGGGCCTCCAGAGAGCCTTCAGAGCCTGAGGAGTGGGGAAATGGGCCTCCCAGAAGTTTGTGAAGGCCAGAAATGGGTCCATTTCGGGCTTCCCCAGGGCCTCTGGAGCCTGGGGAGGCCATTTTCGCTCTCCCAGAGGCAACAAAGCCCCTCCCCTGGCTGCCATGGTGCAGGAGGCCAACTAGGCCACACCCACCCAGCAACCGGGCAGAGAAATGGTTGCTAAAAAAATTTAAAGTCCGCCCCTGCACACTTCAATCCAAACTTCAATCCAAAAAGAGATCACTCTGGCGGAAAAACAAATCTGGTCACGTTGCCAATTTCAAAAGCCGATACAAAAATGTATGCCACCAGATAAAGACCGAATGCACCAATTATCACATTAAACAAGAGGAAAACCTTCTAAGCACCAATTCTAAACCTTCTAAGCACATATCCAACTCAATGAATAGTCATTCTACTCGGTCTCATCCCATTTAAAATACTTTACCACATGTCGAAATGCATCGGGAGGGTTGAGAAAACTCCAGAATGCTGAATGTGTTACATTCCTGGCTAGACAAACTAAACAATTGGGTTGGAATCGAAGCGCCTGTCCAGGATAATCAGGCAACAGGGAAGGAGAGAAAGAATAATAGATGACAGTCTGTACTTGTTATTGCAGGCTGGATAACAACTGGTTGTTGTTTTTTCCCAGGGTCTGTAGTAGCAACGTGATGGAGGAGTTGTTTTGAGGAAGTGATTCTTACACCAATAGAGAAAACTTTGAATTTCTGACTCTCTTGTTGCCAACTAAGTTTCCAACCCACCATATACAAGTAGTCCTTGACTTACAACCATAGCTGAGCCCAAAATTACCGTTGCTAAGTGAGACAACTATTAAATGAATTTTGCCCCATTTTACGACCTTTCTTGCCACAGTTGTTAAGCGAATTATTCAGTCAGCAGCACCGTTGTTAAGTGAATCTGGCTTCTCCATTGACTTTGCTTATCAGAAGGTCACAAAACGGGATCACTTGACCCTGGGATATTGCAACCGTTGTAAAGAGGAGCCAGCCACGGGACTGTGGGGATGCTGCAACAATTTTTAAAAAGTGTGAAAACGGTCATACATTTTCAGCGCCGTTGCAACTTCAAATGGTCACTAAATGAACTGTTGTAACTCGAGGACTATCTATATATTATGCACCACTCCAGATCCCCACACCGAGGGAGAGGGGTGGTTAAGAAAGATGAAATGTAAATAAATAAATAGCTTGCGGTTTAATAAGCAGCCTAACTTTGGAAATGACTTACCTCTTTTGATTCGTTGTTTTTATCTCCTTTCATACCAGCTACCTGCATTTTAACAACCTTGAAAGTTTGGAAGTGGGAACTTTTAATGACCTCCCCAAGCTGGAAAGACTGTAAGTCGTGAGGTGATGGACATCAAATTGGGAGTAACTTTTGCTCATCCATATTTCACGTAGACTCCAAAGGGATTCTGATTTTCAACAAGGCAGCCGGTGGCCCTGGGTTCACCAGGTGCCCTGAGATCTAGATTATGAATAATGATTTATACAGTAAAGCCCAACCAACTGGATTGGAATAATATTTTACAACAGGAAGATTTAGTTTCATACAGCCCACAGTGCCAAAAATGGAATAAACCACAGTGTGGTTCTTATTTTACAACCATATGTGTAAGGGACTTTCTGTTAATGGTGGTGGTACCACTTCAGGATCACCCATAAGCCCAGGATCTTTCATAGCCCTTCTGCAGCCGAGACAATTTTTGGGTCAGCTTGGAACAGGAACAACTTTTCTTTTTCCTCATCCTCTTCTTCCTCTTATTTCTCCTCTTCTCCGTCCTCCTCCTACCTTTCTTTTTCCTTCCTGTTTCTTTTCTTCTTCCTCTTCCTGTTCCTGTTCCTTCTTCCTTCCTCCTTGTCTCTTCTCCCTCCTCCTGTTCCTTCTACCTTCCTTTTCCCTTCTTCTCTTCCTCTTTCTCCTTTTCTTTCTCCTCTTCTTCCTCCTCCTCTTCCTTTTCTTCCTCCTTCTTCCTTCATGTTTTTCTTCCTTCTCCTCCTCTTCTTCTTCTCCCCCCCCCTCCTCCTGTTGAGGGAGATACAGAATTCTGGTTTGTGATCTTCTGGCAGCCTCAACCATTGTTAATTGATGTTGCTATGATGTTGTCCTTTGATGTTGTCTTTCCCTCTTCTTCTGGGTGTGCCTGGTGTTCTTTGACCTTCTCTTTTGGAGAAGCTTGGAATCCCAAGACAACCTCTGCACTTCATTTGTTGTTTTTGTATGTAGGAGCCACTATTGCGAGAACGTTTTGCAGCATTAATGTCAAATCTCCATACATAGTTTGAGATCATGGTTAGAGAAGACCAGAGGTGGGATTCAATTTTTTTAACAACCGGTTCTGTGGGTGTGGCTTAGTTGGTAGGCATGGCTTGGTGGTCATGTGACTGGCTGGGCGTGGCCAACTCAACATCATTCACATCGAGGCACGCATCTCCTCGCCTGGCCTCTCATGACTGAGGGGATGCTGCAATAGTCATAAGTGTGAAAAATGGCCGTAAGTCACTTTTTTCAGTGCCATTGTAACTTTGAATGGTCACTCCACACAAGCAAAGTACCAGCAAAGGAGGGGAAAAAACTCCAGAGATGTTCCTGAGACAGGAAGTCTAGTCCTGCCAAGAATGTAATAAGGGTTAACGGAGAGGCAGTTTCTGTAAGCAACACCAGCATGTTTCCTTCCTGCCTTCCTTACAGGATTAGGCCAGTAATTTCTTCTAACAACCGGTTCTCCGAACTGCTTAGAGTGTTAACAACCGGTTCTAGCGAATAGGTGCGAACTTGTAGAATCCCACCCCTGGAGAAGACCCACCAATGGTAAACACTCACCTACGTGGGCCTACCTTCAATTCCCAAGTCTTTGATGGTCACTCAAGCACATTCTCTTTGTTGTCTCCAACACAGATTTTTGAACAACAACCGAATTTCACAGATCCAGCCAGGAGCTATGGCCCAACTCGAATCTCTCAAACGCCTGTAAGTAGACAGCAAGCATTATAGGTAGTCTTCCACTTACGACTCGCAAAATTTCTATCCTCAGGCAAGGAAGTGGCGAAGTGAGTTTTACCCCATTTCATTCCCTTTCTTGGCCACAGTGAATGCTTCAGTTAGTAACATGGTTATTAAGTGAATCTGGCTTACCTATTGACTTTGATTGTCAGAGAGTCGCAAAAGGTGATCGTGTGGTCCCGGGACAATGTAACCATCATAAATACGAGTCAGTTACCAAGCATCTGAATTTTGAGTACGTGACCATTGGGGATGCTGCAATAGTCATAAGTGTGAAACGGGGTCACGTTTTTTTTCCAGTGCTGTTCAAACAGTAAATGAATGGCTGTAAGTTGAGGACTACCTGTACAGGAAATTCTGTTTTTTTCCTAATCTAAGGACCAGAACAAATCCTTCTTCAGCAATCCAGTAGTTTGGTCCTCAATAAATATGACTGGCCATTCACCTCCCCAAAAATCAGGTCATTGGGTACCCCCTTGTCCTTTTCCCACAAACCTTTCTTAAGAGTTCTCACCTCCTGATCTGAGTTGGACAGTTGGAAAATAACATTATTTTGTTCAGGAGAAGTGCCCTTTTGAGGCTGCTGGATTTTGCTCCTTGAGGTTATAAGAAAGTCACAATGAGCCCTATATTTTTAACTCAGTGTATAATAGAGGCAAGAAAAATCTCTGTTTGTCTATCTTGGCAACTTTAATCAGAATCAGAATAGAGCTGGAAGGGACCTTGGAGGTCTTCTAGTCCAGCCCGCTGCTCAAACAGGAGAACCTATAGCATTTCAGTCAAGTGGCAGTCCAGTCTCTTCTTAAAAACCTCCAGGGTTAGAGCACCTACAACTTCTGGTGGCAAGCTGTTCCACCGGTTAATTGTCCTCAATGTTAGGAAGTTTCGCCTCAATGCCAGGTTGCTTCTCTCCTTAATTAATTTCCATCCATTGCTTCTACTCTTGCCTTCTTGTGCTTTGGAAGATAAGTTTGACCCCTTCTTCTTTGGGGCAGCCCCTAAAATACTGGAGTTCTGCTATCATGTCTTCAATGAAGTCCACACACGTGAACCTGTGTGGACTTCAACTCCCAGAATTCCCCAGACTGAAACTGAACTCACACGCCCCTAATGATTATCCAACAAATACGAAATAAGAATGATTAAGTTATAATAGTCCTGACTTAGTCCTCACCAGTCATTAATGACCGTTCAAAGTTACAATGGATCCCCCCCCCCCCAAAAAGATACTTATATGACCCAATTCCGGAGTTCCAATGACAGTACCTGTCCCCATGGTCACATGACCATATTTTGGTTGCTTGGCAACCAGCTCACCTTGATGGCCGGTTGCAGCATTCTGCGGTCACATGACAGGATTTGCGATGTTTTTTTGCTGGAAACTGGCCATTTTTTTCCACCACCACCCCAGCATGCACTGATTTATTTAATGACCACCATATTCGCTTTACGACTGTGCTGTTTGATTCAAAACCGCCACAAAAAAAAATCATAAAACTAAGTCAAACATGTGGCTGCCTCAGCTTATGACCATCATGACTTAGGATGGACATTGTGGGCTCTATTTCAGTCATAAATCGAGGACTATCTGTAAGCCTCAGATTAGGCAGCATATAAAACGTGATCTTGTGTCACACCCTTCAGCTGCTCAAAAGGACATTCCTCCTTATTTGTTTACGTGATCCAGCTTGATCCGTGAAGCTATCTATATAAACTCTGATGTGGAAACACGTTGCTGGTTGAGCTGTGTGGCTGCTTAGCCAAATCCTCTTTGAAACGCTTTTTGGATTTGGAAAAGAATTGTGCTTTAATAAAAAGAGCAGAAAATGGCATGTTTGCCTCAGAGGATTGTTTAAAAATAAATATTTGTGCAGGCAACGTCCTAAGAGACTAATTGCAGAAAAACATTGACTATCTCAAACAATCTGATCCAGCCATTGATCAGACGACTAGTGCTGTGCCAATTTTGTCCTTTCCCTCCCACAGCTATTTGTTTTGATTTCATGAAGAAAGATATGGAAATTTGGAATGCTTTTTCCCCCCCAAGGAGAAGAACATATTGGGGAAACAAATGAATGATGAACCGTTACAGGAACTGGGCACATGGCTAGTCTAGTGAAGAGAATTCATAAAATAACAGAGTTGGAAGGGACTCTTCTCTGAGCTGGGTTTTCTTGTAGATGTTTCATAACCCAACTACATAACTTCATCAGTGCTAGTAGGAAGTGGGGTTTGCTCTCATTTTACTAGTAGTGTACTAGTAGTGGCTTGCCCTAACAGTGTTGGTGGGAGTGGCCTTGGTGTTTCCCTGACTGGCCTGTAGCTTACTCTTAGCTTGTCTGGCAGACGACATTCCTGTATCTGTGGTTAAACAGGAAGGACTGTTAAACTCATAAAGTCAACTCTTTTTCTTCCCCACCTGGTTCCTCCCAGCCGGCTGGATTCCAATGCTTTGCTCTGTGACTGTGACCTGATGTGGCTGGCAGAGCTGCTGAGGAAATACACCGTACAGGGCAACACGCAAGCGGCTGCCACTTGTGAGACCCCACCTGAGTTGTTCGGTCGTTCGGTCATCACCTTGACCACCCGAGAATTCAACTGTGGTGAGTGATACCATTCCGATCCATTATCTATTTTATTCACTTATTTTTCCAGACTGATAAGATAACAGATAAGCAGAGTTGGAAGGGATCTTGTAGGTCATCTAGTCTAACCCGACGTCCATGCGGGAGACCCTACACCATTTCTGACAAATGGGAGTCCAATCTCTTCTTGAAAGTCTCAAGTGATGGCGCTCCCACAACTTCCGAGGGCAACTTCTGTTCCATTGGTTGATTGTTCTCACTGTCAGAAAGTTTCTCCTTATTTCCAGGTTAAATCTCTCCTTGTTCAGTTTCCATCCATTGTTCCTTGTCTGGCCTACAGGTGCTTTAGAAAATAGATTGACCACTTCCTCCTCTCTGTGGCAGCCCCTCAAGTATTGGAAGACGGCTCTCCTGTCTCCCCTGGTCCTTTTCTTCACTAGACTAGTCATGCCCAGTTCCTGCAACTGTTCTTCATATGTTTGAGCCTCCAGTCCCCTAATCATCCTGTTTGCTCTTCTCTGTACTTTTTCTAGAGTCTCAACATCTTTTTTATAATGTGGTGACCAAAACTGGATGCAATACTCTAGGTGTGGTCTTACTAAAGCTTTATAGAGGGGTATTAGTACCTCACTTGATCTTGATTGTATCCCTCTGACTGTACAGATAACTGCACTCCTTACTAGCACTGATGTTGTTACCTAGTTTGGTAATGAAAGGTCTGCAAGAAAACAAGCACGTTCAGAGAGAGAGAGAGAGCCAAGGACCCCCACAGTCCTCCTCCTCCTTTCCCTTTTAGCACTGATGATGTTACCTATTTGGGTAATGAAAGGTCTGCAAGAAAACAACCCAGCTCAGAGAGCACCAAGGACCCCACAGATAATTATCGATTTACACATTCGCTTAGTGACAGTTCAGGGTGACAATAGCCCTGAAAAATATGACTTATGATTGACCTTCACACTTAATAACCACCCCAGCATCCCCATGATCACGTGGTCTAAATTCAGACATTTGGCAACTGGCATGTATTTATAACGGTTGCAACGTCCTGGGGTCATGTGATCAAGCAGATGTGACCTTCCCAGCCAGCTTCCGGCAGGCCAAGTCCGTGCGGGATGCTGGATTCACACAATGACTGTGTGATTTGCTTAACAATTGCAGTATTTCTCTTAACAACCGTGGCAAAAAAAGGATGTAAAATAGGGTGTGACTCACTTAACAACCACCTTGCTTTGTAACAGGAATTCTGATCCTAATTGTGGTCATAAGTCGAGGACTACCTGTCTCGATTCCTGTCCCAACAATCTCTGGAAGCCGTTAAGCGAATCAGCAAAGATATTGACCTCAGTTTCTGGGCTGGGTTCAGACACTTGGCTGACTCTGGCCCTTAATTAGCACTTTCTGGGCTCACATGGGCTCCTCTTATTGAATGGCTGACTCGGGAACAAGTGAGAGTAGAATAATTGCTGGGAAACAGTGCCATCTAGAGAAAAGTTTATGGTTCTTACAAGACTGATGTCAGCTACGCCAGGTAGATCAGATGGGGGAAATCAATTGCCTAGGAAGCCAAAACTAACTTTTATTGAGATTGGCTACAATAACAGAATCTTGCAAGTTAAGGGAATGGAATGGAATGGAATGGAAAGGAAAGGAAAGGAATGGAATGGAATGGAATGGAATGGAATGGAGTGGAGTGGAAAAGAATGGAATGGAATGGAATGGAATGGAATGGAATGGAATGGAATGGAATGGAATGGAATGGAATGGAATGGAATAGAATAGAATAGAATAGAATAGAATAGAATAGAATAGAATAGA